TGAGGGCCGCTCCCACAGGTGAGGGATGTTCCCGCAGGTGAGAGATGGTCCCACAGGTGAGGGCCGCTCCTGCAGGGGAGGGATGTTCCCGCAGGTGAGAGATGCTCCCGCGGGTGGGGGCCGCTCCCGCAGATGGGGGATGTTCCCGCAGGTGGGGGTCGCTGCACCGTGGGCCCAGGCACATGCTCACTGCGGCTTCCTCATCAATCTTCGGCCTCCCCGGGCCCAGGTGCTATTACTGAATGGCAGAGGCATCTGCCTTACACAATCTTTCCGGAAAGCCAGCCTGCCACTGAGGTCCTGGACCCGTTCTGGCTCGCCTCTCTCGTAAACCCAACTTGCTCATCCCTGTGTGCCCCCTTCTTTGCTGTGGGCATTCGTTGCTCACCTGCTCACTGTCACGGCGACTGTTTTAGAGCACCTTTCTGTGCTGGCCCTGGGGACACAGGGCCCAAAGTGAGACCCAGTGCGCACCTCAAGGATTCCACATGACGCTCTAGACGTGGCCTTGAACCCAAAAACTGAGTAGTCACTGTGGACTTTCTTCCAGTCACTGTGAGTATAAGTGGGGTGACTCAGCACCGTGGGTGATGCTGGTGAAGACATCAGCTCCGGGATCACACCGCCTCCTCTCTCAGAGAACCCAACTCTTTTGTTTTTTTCTTGCAGGAACAAGAAAGGTTATTATTATTGCAATAGTTTGTACATGGAGGGCCAAACAGCACATTCCAGAAAACTTGCTCCCCAGAACCCAACTCTTCATAGCACAATTTTAAAACTCTTTAAAGGCACAGCACCCAGAGAGTCAGATATTAAATTGGAACCGTGCAGGTGGGCAGTAGGGTGTGAGGGACCAGAGGGACCCTGGTTGACCACCTTCAAGGTTCCCAAGACCCTCCGGGGCACTGGACAGAGTGCAGGCAGTGCTGGTGGGCCGCAGCGGGTCTCACTGCCACACACAGGCGTCGGCGACACCCGGCAGTTACAGATGTGATTCGGCCCCGTCCTGGGCCCGCTGAACGTGAGCTCTGGGACTCGGTCAGGACCCTGATCGTTGTCGTTATATTTGGTTTCTTATCGTCTAGCGTGGGCTTTTGAGGCCTGGAGAGGCTGTCCAGTAGGGGCCTAGAGTGGCAGTGTGAAAGGGGCGGTGGGTGTCGAAGGAAGGGGGTTTAAAGGGAGAACTTACTTGAAACATCCTAGCAAGCTCTTGTGTGTGCGTGTGTGTGTGTGGGGGAGGTATGTGTGTGTGTGTCTGTGGTAAAGAGCACATGACATAAAATTTACTTTTTAACCGTTTTGAGGTGAAATCCACAAAACCGAAAATTAGCCATTTTAAAGTGTGGAGTTCAGCGGCATTTGGTGCGTTCACTGTTGGACAGCCACCGCCCCTCTCTAGTTGCAGAACATTCCACCCCCCTCCCCCAGAGTCAAACCTGGAACCCATTAGCAGCCACTCCCCCTCTCCCCTCCAGCCTCCCAGCCCCTGGCCACCACTAAATCTCCTTTCTGTCTCTCTGGAGTTGCCTCTTCTGGACATTTCACGTAGATGGGATCCTACGCTCTGTGACCTTTCACGTCTGACCTCTTCCACCCCACGGGATGTGTTCGAGGTCCGTCCGCGCTGTAGCCGGAAGCAGCACTTCATTCCCCGTCGTGGCCGAATGACCTTCCATCATGCGGATGGGTCCTGCTTTATTTATCCCCTCATCAGTTGCTGGACTTAGGCTTGTTTCTACCTTGTTGGCTGTTGCCGTAGAGCTGACCGAGCACACTTTATTCTGTTTTACTTATTTATGAAGATCTGATTGGCTTTATTACATGTTTCGTGAATCAGGCAGCACCCCTTCTCACAAATAGAGGGGAGCTCCCCAAGCCGCTTTAAATGAATTATTTTGCATGTTTGTGTAAGATTGGGGTACTCCTGTACTCTGCACTCCTGTGCCAGCAGCCTGCACGTATTTACCAATGTGTCATGGTTGTAACAGAGCCACCATAGCCTGGGGTCTCTAAATTTGGAACAGGGACACCGCTTTGCAGTTTTTACTTGATTTAGGGCAACGCTTCGGTTGACATCTCCCCGTTAGGAGATTTGTGGCGGTGGAGGAGGGGAGCGTCTCCCAAGTCTGGGGGTCTTGCCCGTATGGTCAGTCTGCCGCCTCAGTCTCGGGCTCTGATTTCGGGACCGTTGTCCCCTGCCTGTGGAGCGGACTCCCCTTCCTGCCGCTCGTTTGGTGCTCCTGCGGTCAGCAGTTAGTGATGGCCTTGCCTTGGGTTTCAGATGAAGGAAAAGGTCCTGAGAATATAATGATGACCGAGGCTCCGTGCCTGCCTTTGAGGGGCTTGTAGTTTGGGGGGCGGGAAACAGAAATGTGAAAACGGTCACGTGCCCAGTGCCAAGAACTGCAGTCCCAGCCGTCGTGGAGCGACATTACGTGCTTGCAGGGGCGGGGCAGGCTTCAGAAAGGAGGTGCTTTGGCAAAGGCACTCAGAAGACGGTAGGGTTTCCTGGTGGGGCGGAAGAGGACGCAAGCAGCATGAACAAATGCAGACAGCCTGTTTCGAGGACGTCTTGGTTGGGGGAGGACAGAAACTAGGAGTGAAGCTGGCAAGTTAGTTTCGGGACTCCGGCGTCATGAGGAGGATATTGCCTTGAAAGACGTTCGTATGTTAAAGAATCAGAAGCCGAGGGGCGCCTGGGTGGCGCAGTCGGTTAAGCGTCCGACTTCAGCCAGGTCACGATCTCGCGGTCCGTGAGTTCGAGCCCCGCGTCGGGCTCTGGGCTGATGGCTCGGAGCCTGGAGCCTGTTTCTGATTCTGTGTCTCCCTCTCTCTCTGCCCCTCCCCCGTTCATGCTCTGTCTCTGTCTGTCCCAAAAATAAATTAAAAAAAAAAACAAACGTTGAAAAAAAAAGAATCAGAAGCCGAGTTAGGAAGGCGACTCTGGTGAGCGCACTGAGGAGGCAGGATGCCTGCGTGGGTTTCGGAGAGGGGTCGTGAGGATCTGATTGAACTTAGCGGAGATAGAGAGAAGGGCATGTCGTCAGCCATGATTGTTTCTAGGGGGCAGGAAGCACCAGTTCTTGGTGGCCCGCAGAGAATTCTGGGTGAGGGAGAAGAGCAGGTGTTCTCTGAGGATGGGTCCCAGGTTGGCCAAGTGGGTGGATCTGGATGATGCTGCTCACGTCGAGAGGGGGCAGAAGGAGAAGCAGGTGACTGCTGTGTCCCTGTTGGCGTCAGTTGAGGGTTTGGTGGTGAACGGGCGCCATGTGAGAATGAGTTCTGCCTCGGACGAATGACTCAGAATTCCTCTGGCTCCGTCCGGGTGGAGATCTACCTAGGAGGCAGCCGGAAGAAAAATGGGAACTCAGGAGAGAGGCTGGAGCCAGAAGGAGGCATGCGCCTCCCACGGAGAGTGAGAAAGCCGGAGTGGAAGATGGTGGGGGGGGGGTGGGATTTATGGGTGGGAGGAGACAAGGAAGTTCGCGAAGAACACAGAGGGGCTGCAGGTCTGGTGCAGAGGCCCGACGAAGGGGAGCAGCCAAGTCATAGGGCATTCTGGGTCAGAGAAGTCGGTGACCAGAAGGTTGGGAGTAGCCATTAGTTTGACAGTGGAGAGCTCATTTGGGTTCATCCCCGCCAATGTTTGTTCGCAGTGTGAACAGTTGTCTGGTATCGTCTCCTCCGCGGGAAACTTCTTATCCCTAGAGTTTTCTTCTCGTTCCAACTGTGGATCTACAAACGGCAGGGGTTCCACGCTTCAGGAAGCTTCGTTATGAGGTCGCTTCCATAACGTACATCCCGCCAACGAGTTGATTTTTGTATCAGCCAGTCACGTGACTGCGTGACTGTTGGTCAACCTCAAGACCTTACTTGTAAGTCACTTACGTTCTCGCCCTTTTAATTTCAGAGCTTACCCAGATTGAGGATCCCAGAGAACAGTGGAGGCGAGAGCAGGAACGGATGCTGAAGGAGTATTTGATCGTGGCCCAGGAGGCTCTCAATGCCAAGAAAGAAATCTACCAGATTAAGCAGCAGCGGTTCGAGCTGGCCCAGGAGGAATACCAGCAGCTGCACAAAATGTGTGAGGACGACAGCCGCTCGTACGCTAGCTGTGAGTTGACTGTCCCCCGTGGGTAATGCGCGGCTTCGGAAGCCGCCTCTCCGCCGGCTTACTGCACACACCGAACTTGACTCGGGCAAGACAGCTCCGTAAAGTTTCTAACCGCGTATCGTTAGGTCGTCGGTATTTTGCTCTGGAATCGGGTGTCTTCCGTTAGCCACTCCTTTAGTGGGTATTTACCAAGTGCTTGCCCTGTGCCCAGGCACCGTGATGCGGCGGAGCCTGAGGAAGCAGAGGTCCCTGCCCTCATCACATCACATTCAGGTGGGGAAGGTAGAAGAGCAACAAGCAGATTTCAGGCAGCGGCACGAAACGACCTCGTGTCTCGTGTTTGTCAGTGCGGAAAAGGGCTGCACTCGGAGCCCTCCGCCACCGATAGGGCGTGTTAGGGGTGATCCCCGGGAGGGCCGCGCAGTGGTTTCGTTGATCCTGCGTGGAAAGACTCGGGAGCCATCACGTGTGTCAAGCACCTGTCCCTCTGTAGAGTCCTGTCTGGGGTGGCACGCTGAAGGCGGAGGAACTCAGCGTAACCCAGAAGATCGGGGGGACTCCCCGCCCCCGATGGATGCGCACTGGTGTTCTCAAAAGGAATCCCTCTTCGTTTTAGAGGTTACTGGACGTGGGCTCCCATCTCATTAGTACTCAGCGGATGCTCAGGTATTGAAGGAGCCCGGTCCCGTCTCAGAAACCAAAGCATCTCGTTACCGACACAGTCAGTCACTGCTTGAGCCAGTCTCTTCCCCACAGCGCTGTCACACTTAACAGTCCACCACAGGTGCACACGGCCGTGACCGTTCTGGGTGCCCGTGAGCTCGGGAAGAATGCGTGGAGGTGCTACGACTAGGTTTTGTGTGATAACAACCTGAGTCTCGTTGAGACACGGGAAGCCTTAACCTGTGATGTGGCCACCATGTTGCCAGGTACTTGGCTCTGGCGAATAATAAAGACACAGTCAGAGCTTTGTTCTGTGTTGCGAGTCAGAATGGAGTTAAGGCCGAGGGGCCATAGGTCTTTTTTTTATTGCAGCTGCTGTTGAAGGTGAATACGCCTTACAAGCTGTGGGGAAGCGAGGGGTGGGGGTTCCCCTCTGTAACAGGAACTGAAGACAGTGCTATCACATGTCCCGAGAGAAGGTCAGGACCCAAGTATAATGCTGTGTTGTTTCCAGCTTGTCTTATCTCTTGTTCTTTGGATATTGATATCTACTAGGTTTTTTTGTTTGTTTGTTTTTGTTTTAACTGTTCATCAGAACGCAGTGCTCAGCTCAGTGCGAATTTTTAGAGGTTGGTTTCCTATCTCCATAGTTTCTTTTTTTATGTCTTTCTCTGATTTTGGTATCAGGCCTCACAGAACGAATTGGGAAGTGTTCCCTCCTCCTGTTTTTGGAAGGAGTTTGTGTGGGATTGGTATTTGATAGAATTTGATAGAATTCACCAGAAAAGCCATCTGGATCTTGAGTTCTTTGTGGGAGTGTTTGGAACTATAAATTCAATGTCTTTTATGTCTTTTATAGATATAAGGCTATTCAGATGTTTGTTTCTTGTTTTTTTTAAATTTTTTTTTAATGTTTATTTATTTTTGAGAGAGAGCATGAGAGGCAGAGAGGCAGAGAGAGAAGGAGACACAGAGCCTGAAGCAGGCTCCAAGCTCTGAGCTGTCAGCACAGAGCCTGATGCGGGGCTCGAACTCACAGACCGTGAGATCATGACCTGAGCCGAAGTCGGACGCCCAACCAACTGAGCCACCCAGGCGCCCCTTTTTGTTTCTTCATAAATCAGTTTTAGTATTTGTGTGTTTCAAGGAATTCGTCTATTTCATGGAATCCAAAAGTCAGCAAACTTTTCTGCCAAGGGTTAGATAGTAAATATTTTAGGCTTTGTGGGCCACAAGGTCTCAGCTGCCACTACTCAACCCTGTTGTTATAATGCAGAAGCAGCCAGAGATAATACATGAACGAATATGTGTGGGTTGTTCTGATAAAGTGTAAACACAGGTAACAAGTTTGATTTGGCCTGCAGGGAGATTTGCCGACTGCCGAGCCAAGTTGTCAAGTTTATAAAGTTGGTCGTCAAGTTTATAAAGTTTGTAGAATTCCCTTACGGTTCACTTAAGATCTAGACACTCCTAGGTGGTGTCCTGTCTATCATTCCCAATGTTCCTAATTTGTGTCTTCTTTTTTTCCTCAGTGTAGCTAAACTTTTGTTGATTGTATTTGTCTTTATAATGAGCTGGCTTTTTTTCCCCTCCTATTTCTTATCTGTTTTCTATTTTATTGATTTCTCTTTATTATTTTTTCCTTCTTAGTTTGGCTTTACTCTGTTCTTCCTTTTCTAGCTTCCTAAAGTAGAAACGTAGACCATTGATTTTAGACCTTTCTTATTTTCTCACCTAACCTCTAAAAGGTATGAATTCTTCTCCAAGTGCAATTTTAATTTTTTTTCAACGTTTATTTATTTCTGGGACAGAGAGAGACAGAGCATGAACGGGGGAGGGGCAGAGAGAGAGGGAGACACAGAATCGGAAACAGGCTCCAGGCTCTGAGCCATCAGCCCAGAGCCCGACGCGGGGCTCGAACTCATGGACCGCGAGATCGTGACCTGGCTGAAGTCGGACGCTTAACCGACTGCGCCACCCAGGCGCCCCCTCCAAGTGCAAATTTTAACTGCATGCCGCAGGTGTTGCTGTTTTCATTTTCAGTCAACCCAGATTGGCTGTTTCTTTTTGGGTTCTCTAAAAGCAAGTTGTTGGGACTTTTGAAAGATGTTATGTTGCCGATTTCTAATGTAATTCCCTTGTGGTCAGAAACAACACTATGTAAGATTTCAATGTTTTGAAATCTATTGAGATGACTTTTATGACCCAGCATATGGTCTCTCTTGGTGAGCTCATAGGATTAGAAGCCCATGGTGTTGGTACAGCGAGGTCACGCCTAGCTGCACCAGTGGCTTACAACTGTTCCTGAGAGCCTATGGTTAGCGATCTTAAGTCTTTTCAAAAGTTACTTAGTAGAAGCTACGCCGAACCATAGAAAATTGTTCTTTCTGTAGCTTAAAAAGGGCTGAATATAGGCAGTTTCATATGATTCAGCCTAATGGAATGTTTCTTCCCAGTAGCCTTTAGGGACCTTATCTGTTCCATGGTTGGGTTTGATTAGATCTCCAAAGGCCCTCCGGTTGATTTTTCGTCTACGGATGGAATGGGGGAAGGACAGACCAGACAAATTTGGCAGGAGCTTTCTTCCAGTGATTGAAGAGAAAAATCGCAGCGAGGGAAGATGTTTCTTACATGTTGCCTACGACCAGTGCAGCTGAGACTTCAGTCGTGGTGAACGTGGGGCCTCTGGACCTGAGCCTGTGAGGGTGCAAGTAGAGGAGGACCTTGGCGCATCCTGTTGGATTCCACACCCAGCCCTGGGGGAGGCGAGGGAGGAATCCCGGGCCAAAGCTGAGCCCCTGGATTAAGAGCATTCAGAACCTGTAGCCCTGTAGCGATGGGATATCCCTCACCATCAGTTTTTGTATTTCCGTGGGCTTTGACATTTGGGCATGTAGGAAATCGCACTCGGTAATATTCCTTCCTGTGCTCCATAGAATTTTCCTAATGCCCAGTAAAAAAGAGCTACTCAAGATGCCGTCCTGCGTGGTGCATGAAGAAACCTTAGGGTAGAGGAAGCAGATGACTCTGGTGTTCACTTGACACTCTGAACCATGCCCATCAGAATCCTGACCTGCTAGAAGTCTCTGTGTAGACACAATCTCTGCATCCACTTGTGTAAGTGGCCTTGGGCGCCAGATAGGGCCAGCCTGTTTTCATGAAGGGCTAGAGGTGCCAGTGGATTTTGCTGGGGCCTGTTGGCTCATCTGGGATAAGACGCCACATGGAATCGTAACGGACTTAATCCAAGTGCTTCGCCAGGTTGCTGCTGCTCCTGGGGTTTGGACCAAGCTCTTTCAACTTGCCATTTAACCTGAACTACTAATTACGATGACGAAAACTCTGTTAGTGACTCAAATGAATTCTCTCTGACCACACCGGTCTCACACAGCCCAGATTGCTAGTCATCTAAAGCAGGGAGGTGTCTCCTTGCTCCGGTACTGGGAAAGGGATAACACTTGGACCCGTTTCTCGTTACTTCCTTCATTGGCAGTGACTTGAAGCGAAATGACCCAGTATTCAGTGAGCTAGAGTTTTCTGTGCATCGTTCGGATTGCAACATTACGAAGCACATGATGCTGTCTTTGTTGTACACGTGAGAAGCAATACTGGGGAGGCGAGGTTACTTCTTCAAGGTCACATGCCTAGTAAATGGCAGACCTGGGATCTGAACCCAGATCTGTTTGTGCATGTAGCCTTCAGTGCTGCCTACTGTTTCCTAGGCATGGAAGAGGCAGCTCAAAGGAGCTAATTGTGTTTTTGAAACACTTTGCCCTCCTGTTGTTCAACTTATCTAGAAGTAAAGACCGATTATAAATTGACAAGGCCTCTGGCAAGTTTGCAACACTCAGAGGGGCGAGTGGGAGGCAGAGCACTTTCTGTGTCTTGGCTTTCTTGTGGCCCATGGCAGGATTGCTAAACTATTCGTCTAGTTTCCAACAGATACTTACTTAGCACCTGGTATTGGTATGTCCCAAATACTGGGGACGCGATTTCTGTCTCCCTAATGGCTGATTGTAGGGAACAGTTAGGCAGTGATGGGGAACAGAGGAATTAACTAAAACAGCCACTTTTTAAAGTGTTCATTTCTTGATTTTTGAGAGAGAGAAAGAGAGCACAAGCAGGGGAGGGCCGGAGAGAGAAGGACAGAATCCCTAGCAGGCTCTGCGCTGTCAGCACAGAGCCCGACGTGGGGCTCGATCTCACAAAGCATGAGATCATGACCAGAGCTGAAATCGAGAGTCGGACGCTCGACTGACTGAGCCCCCCAGGCGCCCCATAAACCAGCCATTTTTAATATTGGAGCAGGAGGGCGGGAGGAAATGACGTGCATCTGT